AACACTACTGTCTCAACACAACTGTCTCAACACAACTGTCTCAACACTTCTGTCTCAACACTACTGTCTCAACACTACTGTCTCAACACTACTAACTGTCTCAACACTACTAACTGTCTCAACACTACTGTCTCAACACAACACTACTGTCTCAACACTACTGTCTCAACACAACTGTCTCAACACTACCGTCTCAACACTACCGTCTCAACACTACTGTCTCAACACTACTAACTGTCTCAACACAACTGTCTCAACACAACTGTCTCAACACAACTGTCTCAACACAACTGTCTCAACACAACTGTCTCAACACTACTGTCTTAACACTACTGTCTCAACACAACTGTCTTTCACAACATATTGTCATGAAGCAATACTCTGGGTAGACAAATGAAAGACCTTTCTTGTAAACATTGGTAATGACACAATTACCGGTTTTGAACATTTCCCAGGAACAGAATTTTACTTCCTCATTCTGAGCCAGAGTATCAGCCTGTCTCTGATCTAGAGGAAAGATGGCAGAGAGTATATCTTCCTGTACACGTTAAACAGTGACATTGTCATATGACAGAAACAAAGCCCAGATAAACGAATGAATGGTAGATGACCAGACAATCTCTGGCAACAACTGCATAATTTAAAAGTGAGATCTCTTAAATGGAAGTTAGTGAGATGATCTCTACTAATTTGTGTGAGGAAGTTACACTCCACCTATCTTGTGCAGTGACATAATCTAAGCCAACCTCATGAAAGGGAGTGAAATTAACTGTTTGAGGAAGTTGGCAAGATAATCTTATGCAGTGAGTGAGTAAATATGGTTTTACGTCGCTTTTAGCAACATTCCAGCAATATCAAGGTAGGGGGGGCACCAGAAATGTTCTTCGCACATGGCACCCATGTGGGCACTGGACCTGGGGTCTTCAGATGCTTAAACAATGTTTAACCTCACCGCCCCCTGTGTAGTGAGACAATCTACAGCAATCTTGTGTAGTGAGACAATCTACAGCAATCTTGTGTAGTGAGACAATCTACAGCAACCTTGTGTAGTGAGACAATCTACAGCAATCTTGTGTAGTGAGACAATCTACAGCAATCTTGTGTAGTGAGACAATCTACAGCAATCTTGTGTAGTGAGACAATATACAGCAATCTTGTGTAGTGAGATAATCTACAGCAACCTTGTGTAGTGAGATAATCTACAGCAATCTTGTGTAGTGAGACAATATACAGCAATCTTGTGTAGTCAGACAATATACAGCAATCTTGTGTAGTGAGACAATATACAGCAATCTTCTGTAGTGAGACAATATACTGCAACCTTGTGTAGTGAGACAATATACAGCAATCTTGTGTAGTGAGACAATCTACAGCAATCTTGTGTAGTGAGACAATATACAGCAATCTTGTGTAGTCAGACAATATACAGCAATCTTGTGTAGTGAGACAATATACAGCAATCTTGTGTAGTGAGACAATCTACAGCAATCTTGTGTAGTGAGACAATCTACAGCAATCTTGTGTAGTCAGACAATATACAGCAATCTTGTGTAGTCAGACAATATACAGCAATCTTGTGTAGTCAGACAATATACAGCAATCTTGTGTAGTCAGACAATATACAGCAATCTTGTGTAGTGAGACAATATACAGCAATCTTGTGTAGTCAGACAATATACAGCAATCTTGTGTAGTGAGATAATCTACAGCAACCTTGTGTAGTGAGATAATCTACAGCAATCTTGTGTAGTGAGACAATATACAGCAATCTTGTGTAGTCAGACAATATACAGCAATCTTGTGTAGTGAGACAATATACAGCAATCTTCTGTAGTGAGACAATATACAGCAACCTTGTGTAGTGAGACAATATACAGCAATCTTGTGTAGTCAGACAATATACAGCAATCTTGTGTAGTCAGACAATATACAGCAATCTTGTGTAGTCAGACAATATACAGCAATCTTGTGTAGTGAGACAATCTACAGCAATCTTGTGTAGTGAGACAATCTACAGCAATCTTGTGTAGTGAGACAATCTACAGCAACCTTGTGTAGTGAGACAATCTACAGCAACCTTGTGTAGTGAGACAATCTACAGCAATCTTGTGTAGTGAGATAATCTACAGCAACCTTGTGTAGTGAGACAATCTACAGCAATCTTGTGTAGTGAGATAATCTACAGCAATCTTGTGTAGTGAGACAATCTACAGCAATCTTGTGTAGTGAGAGACAATCTACAGCAATCTTGTGTAGTGAGACAATCTACAGCAATCTTCTGTAGTGAGACAATCTACAGCAATCTTGTGTAGTGAGACAATACAGCAATCTACAGCAATAATCTTGTGTAGTGAGACAATCTACAGCAATCTTGTGTAGTGAGACAATCTACAGCAACCTTGTGTAGTGAGACAATCTACAGCAATCTTGTGTAGTGAGACAATCTACAGCAATCTTGTGTAGTGAGACAATCTACAGCAATCTTGTGTAGTGAGACAATCTACAGCAATCTTGTGTAGTGAGATAATCTACAGCAATCTTGTGTAGTGAGACAATATACAGCAATCTTGTGTAGTGAGACAATCTACAGCAATCTTGTGTAGTGAGACAATCTACAGCAATCTTGTGTAGTGAGACAATCTACAGCAATCTTGTGTAGTGAGATAGTCTACAGTAACCTTGTGTAGTGAGTGAGATAATCTACAGCAATCTTGTGTAGTGAGACAATCTACAGCAATCTTGTGTAGTGAGACAATCTACAGCAATCTTGTGTAGTGAGACAATCTACAGCAATCTTGTGTAGTGAGACAATCTACAGCAATCTTGTGTAGTGAGACAATCTACAGCAATCTTGTGTAGTGAGACAATCTACAGCAATCTTGTGTAGTGAGATAGTCTACAGTAACCTTTGTGTAGTGAGATAATCTACAGCAATCTTGTGTAGTGAGATAATCTACAGCAATCTTGTGTAGTGAGACAATCTACAGCAATCTTGTGTAGTGAGACAATCTACAGCAATCTTGTGTAGTGAGACAATCTACAGCAACCTTGTGTAGTGAGACAATCTACAGCAATCTTGTGTAGTGAGACAATCTACAGCAACCTTGTGTAGTGAGACAATATACAGCAATCTTGTGTAGTGAGACAATATACAGCAATCTTGTGTAGTGAGACAATCTACAGCAATCTTGTGTAGTGAGACAATCTACAGCAATCTTGTGTAGTGAGACAATCTACAGCAACCTTGTGTAGTGAGACAATCTACAGCAATCTTTTGTAGTGAGATAATCTACAGCAACCTTGTGTAGTGAGACAATCTACAGCAATCTTGTGTAGTGAGATAATCTACAGCAACCTTGTGTAGTGAGACAATCTACAGCAATCTTGTGTAGTGAGATAATCTACAGCAATCTTGTGTAGTGAGACAATCTACAGCAATCTTGTGTAGTGAGACAATCTACAGCAATCTTGTGTAGTGAGACAATCTACAGCAATCTTGTGTAGTGAGACAATCTACAGCAATCTTGTGTAGTGAGACAATCTACACAGCAATCTTGTGTAGTGAGACAATCTACAGCAATCTTGTGTAGTGAGACAATATACAGCAATCTTGTGTAGTGAGATAATCTACAGCAATCTTGTGTAGTGAGACAATATACAGCAATCTTGTGTAGTGAGATCTTGTGTAGTGAGACAATCTACAGCAATCTTGTGTAGTGAGACAATCTACAGCAATCTTGTGTAGTGAGACAATCTACAGCAATCTTGTGTAGTGAGACAATCTACAGCAATCTTGTGTAGTGAGATAGTCTACAGTTAACCTTGTGTAGTGAGATAATCTACAGCAATCTTGTGTAGTGAGATAATCTACAGCAATCTTGTGTAGTGAGACAATCTACAGCAATCTTGTGTAGTGAGACAATCTACAGCAATCTTGTGTAGTGAGACAATCTACAGCAACCTTGTGTAGTGAGACAATCTACAGCAATCTTGTGTAGTGAGACAATCTACAGCAATCTTGTGTAGTGAGACAATCTACAGCAACCTTGTGTAGTGAGACAATCTACAGCAACCTTGTGTAGTGAGACAATCTACAGCAACCTTGTGTAGTGAGACAATCTACAGCAACCTTGTGTAGTGAGACAATCTACAGCAATCTTGTGTAGTGAGACAATCTACAGCAATCTTGTGTAGTCAGACAATATACAGCAATCTTGTGTAGTCAGACAATATACAGCAATCTTGTGTAGTCAGACAATATACAGCAATCTTGTGTAGTCAGACAATATACAGCAATCTTGTGTAGTGAGACAATCTACAGCAATCTTGTGTAGTGAGACAATCTACAGCAATCTTGTGTAGTGAGATAGTCTACAGTAACCTTGTGTAGTGAGATAATCTACAGCAATCTTGTGTAGTGATATAATCTACAGCAATCTTGTGTAGTGAGACAATCTACAGCAATCTTGTGTAGTGAGATAATCTACAGCAACCTTGTGTAGTGAGACAATCTACAGCAATCTTGTGTATTGAGATAATCTACAGCAATCTTGTGTAGTGAGATAATCTACAGCAATCTTGTGTAGTGAGACAATCTACAGCAATTTTGTGTAGTGAGACAATCTACAGCAATCTTGTGTAGTGAGACAATCTACAGCAATCTTGTGTAGTGAGAAATCTACAGCAATCTTGTGTAGTGAGATAATCTACAGCAACCTTGTGTAAGGAGTGAATGAGTGATTGAGTGATTGAGTTTAGTTTTAAGCTGTTCTGGGACACCAGAAATGGGTTTCACACAATATACCCATATGCGGAATCAAACCCGGGTCTTTGGCATGATGGGCGAACACTTTACCCACCAGGCTACCCCACCGCCCCTCTGGTGTAAGGAAGTGAAATTATCTCTATACCACTTGTGTAAGGCAGCCTGCAAATAATCTCATGTGTTGTGTTGTGTGATAATCTATAGCCATCTCGTGTCAGGAAGTTAGAAAACTCACATCATGATAAGCTGAGAAGTCCAACACGTCTCGGAGGTCCATCTTCTGTGCCTGCAGCAGGAACTTGTTGAGTGACGAGGCGTAATGCCGGTCAGCTTCGTACCGAAGGATCAGGCACTTCCTGAAGTTCTCCAGCAGACGAATCTCAGCATCCTGGAGACTAAGCAATCCCTCATGGGACACCCTGCCCTGGAGGTCACTACCAAACCCCATCTGGAAACAGAAACAGTAAGAGGTCAAAACATGTATTGTAAGTATTGATGGCGGCCATTCCTTCCCTGAAGGTCATGCGACATTGTGTCCTGAGGTCAGTGCACCTGCGTACACACACACATACAATGCGACATTGTGTCCTGAGGTCAGTGCACCTGCGTACACACACGCATACAGTGCGACATTGTGTCCTGAGGTCAGTGCACCTGCGTACACACACACATACACAAATATGCAACACAAGAAGAAATTAAAATATAGCTACAAGCAGCGATATCCGGCTCCTTGGCTTTAATTCAATCTACACACTTAAAGAAATTAAATAACAAGACAGTTGAAAGCAATCTCTGACGGGACATGTTCCTTGTAGGTGGTAGCAAGAAAGTCCAAAAGAAAGTCTTGTATTCATCTTTGCATTTCTCTTTTCAATTATATGTGAACTACAGCACATACTGATCGTCCAAACTGAGAACATCTTTGAAATCAACATCTGTGTTTGAAAAATAAGGTTGCTGCTATGATCACAGTAATCGCCTTTCAAATTCTGAAATTATCCTAGAAATAAAGCTCTGACAATTTTTGTAGGAGTTCAAAGTCTTCAGGATGCTCAGTCATTAAGTTTAATCTTACAACTGAGTGTAAATGTCACTGTTCCTGTTTAATCTTACAACTGAGTGTAAATGTCACTGTTCCTGTTTAATCTTACAACTGAGTGTAAATGTCACTGTTCCTGTTTAATCTTACAACTGAGTGTAAATGTCACTGTTCCTGTTTAATCTTACAACTGAGTGTAAATGTCACTGTTCCTGTTTAATCTTACAACTGAGTGTAAATGTCACTGTTCCTGTTTAATCTTACAACTGAGTGTAAATGTCACTGTTCCTGTTTAATCTTACAACTGAGTGTAAATGTCACTGTTCCTGTTTAATCTTACAACTGAGTGTAAATGTCACTGTTCGGTGTTTAATCTTACAACTGAGTGTAAATGTCACTGTTCCTGTTTAATCTTACAACTGAGTGTAAATGTCACTGTTCGGTGTTTAATCTTACAACTGAGTGTAAATGTCACTGTTCCTGTTTAATCTTACAACTGAGTGTAAATGTCACTGTTCCTGTTTAATCTTACATCTGAGTGTAAATGTCACTGTTCGTGGTGTAATCTTACACAACTGAGTGTAAATGTCACTGTTCCTGTTTAATCTTACAACTGAGGTGTAAATGTCACTGTTCCTGTTTAATCTTACAACTGAGTGTAAATGTCACTGTTCCTGTTTAATCTTACAACTGAGTGTAAATGTCACTGTTCGTGTTTAATCTTACAACTGAGTGTAAATGTCACTGCTCCTGTTTAATCTTACAACTGAGTGTAAATGTAACTGTTCCTGTTTAATCTTACAACTGAGTGTAAATGTCACTGTTCGTGTTTAATCTTACAACTGAGTGTAAATGTCACTGTTCCTGTTTAATCTTACAACTGAGTGTAAATGTCACTGTTCCTGTTTAATCTTACAACTGAGTGTAAATGTCACTGTTCGTGTTTAATCTTACAACTGAGTGTAAATGTCACTGTTCCTGTTTAATCTTACAACTGAGTGTAAATGTCACTGTTCCTGTTTAATCTTACAACTGAGTGTAAATGTCACTGTTCCTGTTTAATCTTACAACTGAGTGTAAATGTCACTGTTCCTGTTTAATCTTACAACTGAGTGTAAATGTCACTGTTCGTGTTTAATCTTACAACTGAGTGTAAATGTCACTGTTCCTGTTTAACTCACAACTCGAGCAACTTGAAGCTGACCACAGAGACTGAGATACAGTGTAAGGTTAAATCATCTTGCTCTTCAGTAGGGGAGGTGGGGTAGCCAAGTGGTTAAAGCATTAGCTGGTCATGCTGAATATCCGGGTTTGATTCCCCACATAGGTACGATGTCTAAGTCCATTTCTGGTTACGCTCACTGTGATGGTGCTGGAACATTGCTAATAGCGGCGTAAAACTAAATACATTGTACCCATGTGGGGAATCGAAACCGTGTCTTCAGGGCTACAAGAGGGATTAAGTTGTCTACACAGCGCGAGACCATGATAGAGCCATAACAAGATTTCTTGAAATGGCAAGTGAGGTGAGGTGAATTGAGGTGAGGTGAGGTGAAATTGGGTTTAATGTCATGCTTGAGAATATTTCGCTCATATGACGTGTGTATGTGTATGTGCGGCTGCTTGTACTAGCCCAGACTGAAGCTGTTTTTATAGTGCTAGCCCACTGAGATACCATGCCGCAGTGAAGTATGAATACCCCACTCAGACACATTATACTGACTCCGAGCCGACCAGTTCTTGTTGTACCTATAAATGCCGAGCGCCAGGCAGGGACCAACAAGTACCATATTTTAACGTCTTTTGGTATGTAGCGGTCAGGGATCAAACCCTTGATCTTCCGCTCTCTGGTCGGACGCTCTAACCACTACACCACGGAGGCGGTACAAATGGCAAGTGAAGAAACTAAACTTTGTATTTGTGACAACACAGATGGAAGAGATTCTGCAATCCATGAGGAGTGTTTTTCAAGAATGAGTAAGTATAAAAGACAGCTGTCCTATGAAGGGGTAGACATACAAAACGATACCATACATAACTACTTAAAAATTAAGGTTAGCTATCATTGTATCAATATAGATCTTAGAGAACAATAACCATTAAACTAAATATTGATTGATTATCAATAAATATCAGAGATGTAACATTGAGCAAAAATACAAAAAGACATGTCAGAAAAAATGATCATGTTTCACATCACTTGTGAGTGGTGACAAGTTCTTGCATGTATTAACAAACAGCGGCCAGTGTCCTGAACATAAGTTCGAATATGCTTGTCGTAAGAGGCGACTAACAGGTTCGGGTGGTCAGGCTCGCTGACTTGGTTGACACATGTAATCAGTTCCCAATTGCGTAGATCGATGCTCATGCTGTTGATCACTGGATTGTCTGGTCCAGACTCGATTATTTACAGACCGCTGCCACATAGCTGGAATATTGCTGAGTGTGGCGTAAAACTAGACTAACTCACTCACCCCCTGAACATAATTTAGAAACAGACTATAAATAAAGTCCTAAATTTGTATATTGTGTGAGAAAATTACAAAAGATAATGTAAGATATAGTATCGATAACACACATTTCCTATTGATAATCATTAATATATTTTCCCACTGACGATATTTCCGATTATCGATTATTTTAGCCAGCCCTATGAAAAATCATCCTTGTACATTAACACCATTTCGTCTGAAATATCCACTTTAAAGGTCACATGCAACGTAAAACACAACTTTGCAGATTCTGATACATTTCGGTATGGACTAACCAAAACAAATCGTCAAAAATGCAAATTCAACTTATAAAGTTGAAAAATAACGCGATGAACAAAAACGCGCGAAATCGGAGTTCAAACGATTCACTAATTTTCCCCAGACTTTTCGGGGGAAAACTGGTTTCAACAGCTGGGCTGCGCTCATAGCACGTGCGCAGTGAAATAGGTTCGTGCAAAAACTTGGAAGCGGGCTGTCCGGTGAATACTCGGTGAAGGCTTTGGTGTGAGCTATTTTCCTAATGTTTTGTTGATATCTCACAGGCGCGAGCTTTTTATATGTTATGACAGTAAATAAACTGTTTATATAATTTCATTCGTCTATTTCACCACACGTTCTTCTTACCGAGTCACTTTCTCAGTTCGATACTTAAAAGCAATGTCATTATTTAGTGTTGACAGAATTTCTAACTGTGATATAGATATGTCATTGTCACAGATAATAATTAATGTCTTGTTTTATTGACACCTGTGTTTGCCTGCCTGTCTGCTAATGACAATATTCAATACACAACTGCGATCACTGACCACATGCAATTTGAACTTAACACCAATTAGCCTATACACCATAAACAAAATGCATTGATTTAATGCCCGAGTTCGGTCTCGGTCACATTATGTAATTACACAGACAGGTAGGTGTGATACTTGAACACATGACATGTTATGATGTCTGTTGATTGCAAAATGTTATACACAAAAAATGAGCATGTATTTACAAAACCCAACATCTCTATATATACACACACAATGAGCCATGAGGGCATCTGCAAATGAACCAGCCGTTACACTTGAGTGCACACCCACCCGCTCTGACTGGGTTCGGTATCCCGGCTGCTTCGTTTCTTGGGAAGTAAACCCAAGTACACAATATTCAAGTTTTGATTTGCGATTGTACGCTTATAATTTTGTTTATATATGTTTTTTCATAACCAGCAATGTATATTATATGTCATGAATAAGTGATAATTGTGTTTTAATTATGTTTGATTTTTTGGTTGCATGTGACCTTTAAGAATCATCCTTGTACATAAACGCTAATTCTATTTGATTTCGTTGTTGATGGTAAATATTTTCTGCAAATAAAGTTTAAGTAAGTCTTACCTCAATCAAGACTGCCCAGCTATTAAAGGACACTAATCTTTTATTATACGCAATAAAAAAGTCAATAAACATGACCTACGTCAGTAGTGAGCCGGATGTGAGCATGGATGGGACATCTCAAATATACTGGCTCATCTCTTGTATCAGCATTATATCATCATGTATTGTTCGTGTAACACATCACTGCACTGGTGATGGCGTGTGGTGCTGTGCATAGAGCTCAGGTCACAAATTAGTTGAAGTTAAGCAACGTTGAGCACGGACAGTCCTTGGATGGGTGACCATGTTTGGCAGCTTGACTCCTGAGAGTTTCTAGGACTTCAGTCCTGCCCCACAACGAAACGCATGTGATACATGTGGTCTCACCTTAGGCGAATGAGTTTGTTAAAAATTGCCTCTGTTCACCAAGCAGAAAATGGGTACCCGGTGGGACGTCGTGGTGACTATAACCGTCAAGCGCCTAACAGGAAGCTTGGGTTATCTGAGGTAATAATGTGCTGTGCCTTGATTGTCAGCGCCATGAGCAAAACTG